CTGTCCCCAACTCATCCCCGTGTCCCCAATTCCCACCAGCTCCACGTGGCAGCAGCCAACGGGTTCCTGGAAGCGGCCGAGCTGCTCCTGGAGCACCGCGCCGGCACCCACTGCCGGGACGAGGACGGCTGGCAGCCCCTCCACGCCGCGGCCTGCTGGGGACAGGTGAGGACAGGGTTTTGTGTCCCCCCAAAGAGGGCACGGACAGAGAAACCACTCAGAGTTTTCAGTCTGATAAGCAGGAGGCGTCTTTATTAATTACGGTCACTCTGGACAAAAGCGCTTCCTTCCGGCAGCTCACAGCTGGGATTTTATGGAATTTTTGCCAAGAAATTGCATCACACGACGTGAATAATCATAATATGGCAATGGGCATTTTTAATGTTCATGACAGGTGGAGTTTGGGGGCGTGGCCTTCAATCTGGGGGGAATCTGAGGGGTCGTTCCTGTCCTTCAGCCTCGTGAACCCTTGTCCTTCCTTTCTTCCATCATCTTCATCATCTTCTGAGGGGTCATTCCTGTCCTTCAGCCTCGTGAATTCTCGTCCTTTCTTCCATCATCTTCATCAACTTCTGAGGGATCATTCCTGTCCTTCGGCCTCATGAACTCTTGTCCTTCCTTCCATCATCATTATCATCAACTGAGGGGTCGTTCCTGTCCTTCAGCCTCGTGAACTCTTGTCCTTCCTTTCTTCCATCATCATCTTCATCAACTTCTGAGGGATCGTTCCTGTCCTTCGGCCTCATGAACTCTTGTCCTTCCTTCCATCATCACCATCATCAACTGAGGGGTCGTTCCTGTCCTTCAGCCTCGTGAACTCTTGTCCTTCCTTTCTTCCATCATCATCATCATCAACTTCTGAGGGGTCGTTCCTGTCCTTCGGCCTCGTGAACTCTTGTCCTTTCTTCCATCACCATCATCATCTTCATCAACGTCTGAGGGGTCGTTCCTGTCCTTCAGCCTCATGAACCCTTGTCCTTTCTTCCATCACCATCATCATCTTCTGAGGGGTCGTTTCTGTTCTTCAGCCTCGTGAACTCTTGTCCTTCCTTTCTTCCATCATCATCCACTTCTGAGGGGTCATTCCCATCCTTCAGCCTCGTGAGCTCTTGTCCTTCCTTCCATTTTTAGTTCTCTCTGTTTTTTTATGTTCTTGTGCTTCTGTTCTTTTGTGTCTGCTTATTGATAAATTGATAACCTTGATAAATTATTGCCTCTACTGTTTCTAAGACCGAGTTTCTCTGTGCTCTTGCTCAGGGCTTGCTTTCTAAATTAACTCTCTGATCCCAATGTCCCAGCTCTGGGTCCTTCCCATCCCTTTAACAAGAGTCCCAGTGTCCCAGATCCAGGCCCTTCCCATCCCATCTCCATC